CCTCTTGATTTCAGCTCAGGACATGATCTCAGGTTCCTGGGATCAAAGTCCTGCATCAGGCTCTGCATTCAGCCGAGAGTTGGCTTGGGGATTCTCTCCCTCCCCCTACTCCTCCCTCACCGCACTTAAGTGTGCACTTGAGTGTGCACTCAAGCATGCGCATGCTCTCTCTCAAATGAATGAATAAATCTTTAAAAAAAAAAAAAAGTTAAGGAGGGAGGGACTAGTTATATCAAATGTTGGTATAAGATCAAGTATGATGAGGACTAAGAATTGAAATTTTAAAGTTCAGCTCCTTGGTCACATTAGCTACATTTCAAGCTCAGCGACCACACATGGCTAGTGACATGAAAGTGCCCCACTGGACAGTGCTGATGCACAGAAACAGAAGGCAGGATAGGGACGCCTGGGTGGCTCAGTTGGTTGAGCAGCTGCCTTCGGCTCAGGTCGTGATCCCAGCGTCCTGGGATCGAGTCCCACATCGGGCTCCTTGCTCATCAGGGAGCCTGCTTCTCCCTCTGCCTCTGCCTGCCATTCTGTCTGCCTGTGCTTGCTCTCTCTCCCTCTCTCTCTGACAAATAAATAAATAAAATCTTTAAAAAAAAAAAAAAAGAAGGCAGGATAAATGAGCACAGATATAAGTAACAGCTAAATATGGTGGTGGGAGTTTGTGGAAGTCCTCTTCAGATAACCGCTCCCCTTCAAAATAGAAACAGGAAGCAAGGCCAATAGCTGAGAATGGAAACAGGAGAAAATGTGCTAGAAATTTGAAGAATGAAAAGAAATATGGTGGCTGAGCAGGAAAATGAGAACAAGACTGAGACAAAACCAGTGGATTGTGAACCCCTGTGGGAGCCACGGATTGCTGGAGGTCACCCAACTTCTTGAATGTACATGCATGTCTTCTGCCAAATTTGGGCAATTCTCAGCCATTATTTCTTCAAATACTTTTTCAGACACTCTCTCTTGCTCTTCTCCTTCCAGGACTCCTCCAGTGACAGAAATGTTAAAATTTTTTGTTATGGTCCCCAGATCTCTGAAGTTCTGTTCATTTTTTTAAGCATTCTATTTTATCTCTGGTATTGAGATTGAGGAATTTATATTTTATTATTCTATCTTCAAGTTCACTGACTCTTTCCTCTGTCCTCTCCATTCTGCTGTCGACCCTAACCAGTGACATATTTGTTTTGGTTACTGTATTTTTCAGTTCTAAAATTTCCATCTGATTCTTCCTTACATCTATTTCTTTAATGAGGCTCCATTATTCATTTCAAGTAGGTCTATAATTGCACACTGAGGCATTTTTATAATGGCTGCTTTAAAATCTTGTCAGATAATTCTAATATCTATGTCATCTTGCTGTCAGCATCTCAACTGCCTTTTTTTTCACTCAAGTTGAGATTTTCCCAGCTCCTCACATGAGAAATGATCTTCAATTGAAATCTGAACATTTTGGGTATCATGGCATGAGACTGGATTTAATTTAAATCTACCGTTAGAGCAGGCCTCCTCCGACACCCCAGTAGGGAAGGGGGAAGGCCAACTCATTCCAGCTGTTACTGCCAGATGGGGTAGAATCCAGGCTCCCTACAGGGGCTCCACTGATATCACAGGGGTGGGGGAGGCCTCATTCCTGCCTGGTGGAGAAGAAAGTCCCAGATCCCTAACTGGCTTTCAGAGATTAAGACTGTAGGCAAATAACATGCAAAAACCAAAACCAAAAGGCTAAACATTAACTAGGTTACATTAACACTAGATTGCTGAGAAAGTCCCAGCTCCCTAATCGGACTTTTCTAACACTGGCAGCTGGAGAGTGGCTGGAGCACCTCACCAGATCCTGGCAAAAATGAAAATCTATACTATACTGGGACTTTGCTGACAGCAATGAGGGCAAGGTCACAGTTCTTTCTGTAGTGTTTGGCTATAGTAGAGCAGTTATTTGTGTCTAAAAGTTTTCTGTCTTGCTAAGCTGCCCCTTTCCTAGTCCTTTGGCTAGAGAGAACAGGTGGGCTTGTTCTTGGGGCTTTTTTGGCTTGTGCCTACTGGTATTTCCAGATTGCTGCTTTTTCCAACCACAAATCTGAGATACACGAGACAAAAAGACCTGGAATTTGCCTTTAACTCTTTCCCTGGGTCCCGAGGTCTCTAGCCAGAATGCCTTCTTTCTACCTTTTAGTTTTCTCATGTTTGCATTACATATAATCCAGGATTTTTAACTGTACTTACCATAAAGAATAGGGGAAAGTGACCTTCATTTCTTTGTGACTTTTAATAATTTCCTTTTTCATATTCTATTACTAAAGGAGAATCAGGGCACCTGGGTGGCTTAATCTGTTAAATATCTGACTCTTGGTTTCAGCTCAGGTCATGATCCTGGGGTCGTGAGGTTAAGCCCCATATCAGGCTCCACACCCAGTAGGGAGTCTGCTTCTCTCCCTCTCCCTTTGCCCCTCGCCCTGCTCATGTGTTTGTGTGCACCCATGCTCTCCCTCTAAAATAAAGAAATAAATCTTTAAAAAAAATAAAGGAGTATCTTATTTACCTTGTGTTTCTCCTGGGTTTGTCTTCAATTCTGAAATCATTTTAAAATTCTTTATCCATTCATCTGCTGAAGACATCTTGGCTCTTTCCACAGTTTAGCGACTATGGCCATTGCTGCTATGAACATTGGGGTACAGATGGCCCTTCTTTTCACTACATCTGTATCTTTGGGGTAAATACCCAGTAGTGCAATTGCAGGGTCATAGGGTAGCTCTATTTTTAATTTCTTAAGGAATCTCCACACTGTTTTCCAAAGTGGCTGCACCAACTTGCATTCCCACCAACAGTGTAAGAGGGTTCCCCTTTCTCCACATCCTCTCCAACACTTGTTGTTTACTGTCTTCTTAATTTTGGCCATTCTAACTGGTGTAAGGTAGTATCTCAATATGGTTTTGATTTGAATCTCCCTGATGGCTAATGATGATGAACATTTTTTCATGTGTCTGTTAGCCATTTGTATGTCTTCTTTGGTGAAGTGTCTGTTCATATCTTCTGCCCATTTTTTTGACATGATTATCTGTTTTTTGAGTGTTGAGTTTGAGGAGTTGTTTATAGAGGATATGGTCCATATATACAATGGAATATTATACCTCCATCAGAAAGGACAAATACCCAACTTTTATATTGACATGGACAGGACTGGAAGAGATTATGCTGAGTCAAATAAGTCAAACTGAGAGAGTCAATTATCATATGGTTTCAATTACTTGTGAAGCTTAAGGAATAACATGGAGGACATGAGGAGAAGGAAAGGAAAAGTGAATTGGGGGAAATCAGAGAGGAAGAAGAACCGTGAGAGATTGTGGACTCTTGAGAAACAAACTGAGGGTTTCGGAGGGGTGGGGGTGGGGGGGTTAGGTAAGCCTGGTGGAGGGTATTAAGGAGGACACGTATTGCATGGAGCACTGGGTGTGGTGCATAAACAATGAATCTTGGAACACTGAAAAAATAAAATTAAATTTAAAAAAATTCTTTCCTAACTTCTACCATCTCATTTCTGGATTTTTCTACTTCTGATTCTATTGTTCTTTCATGTTTTGCATCATTTTCTTTCTGTATTTTAGTTTGGGAACAGTAAGTTCTCACTTTCATCAGTTTTGTGAGTGTATTTTTCTACTATGCTTTCATGTACAATGGCGGGTTATTCTACCAGGTAGTCTCTTTTTTCTATGTTACTCTAACTTTTAATTTTCTATGTCATTAAAACTTGATACTTTTCTGTTGCTCAATTTTAAGTAAAACTACTTTTTCCTGAACTTCTACAGGAGAGACCTAGGTTAGGACCATCTTCCTAATTTCTCAGCTCTCTAGTTTATTCTTCTATTGTCAATGGTGTGGTGTTCAAAAGACAGCAGCTTACTTGTTGAGATATCTGGCTCTGTCCCTCCCTGACTGTTACCTGGACACTCTTAATTTTTCCTCTATGGTCCCTATCCTCTTCAATTTGAATTTTATTCCCAGCAGTTTCTCCTTGGTGTGGAAATTTCTCTCATAAAGAGACCGGCTAGTTCATTTGGGGAGCTAAAAAGGCACAAACTGCTCTAGCCTCTTCAGACCCTACTACAGATTCCTTGTGCTTACCCCCTACCAAAATGTACAAATCTTTCCAGTTCCAACTACCGTTCTCAAAAGCAGCTTCTTCTAGGTATACTGGAGCCTATCAGTTGGCCACCTGCTCTCCTTTGCTTACTCCTGCTCAGATTCTAATACCACAAAGGCTTTGTAGCTGTCAATTGTTAGCCCCCCTCATCTGTGCAGACACCTTCTGACCAAGTTTTGTTTTGTTACCCATGTGTTTTTTTCATTTTGCTATGCTAGTTATCTATATGCTTTAATGACTACTTGAGAGATTCAGAAACTATGCCTTTACTGCCATAGTTTCAGAATCCCTTACAGAACAGATTCTGGTTTTTTACAATCTTCATTAATAAAAAATGCCTAGAAAAAATTTCCAGGGCACAAAATTGGCATGAGTACGTGTTCATAAATTTCTCCCTAAAATCAATCTTCATAACTAACTTCATAACTCCACTGTGATAACATATATTCTCCCTTCAAGATGAGCAACATAGGACCAGCAAACAGACCTTGAACTCTATAGGTCGAGTGTTAGACCATGCCATAATTTTCTCTAGCAAACTATAAATTCAAACCATCTGACCTACAAAAATGCTAATTAAATTTATAGGTAAAGTAAGCCCCAATTTATATAGAGCCTAAAGTAAAATATAAGAGATGGTACCTAGAAAAGATTAATTATTGCTTATTATAACAATGCATTCCTTGTGGCTCCCAACTTCAAAAACTAAGACCATGTCAAAAAAATTCTGGAACAGTACTACTAAAATACTAACAGGGAGTTTCCTCTGGTAATGGAATCACTGACAACTTCATTTATCTCCAAATTTTCAAAATGGGAAACTAGTAAGCTTCTTACAAAAATGTTTAAAACAACTTACGCTAGAACCATGTTGTAATCTGAGTGGTTGAACATATATCCTCCAACAACCCACATTATATTTCCATTGACCACAGCTTTGTGAGAGGCCCTGGGGAGCTTTAGGTTAGAATATTCCTCTCGAGTCCAAAATGACTGGTTAGCTGGCACAGGAATCGAACATCCAGGACCTAATAAAACAGAATAAATTAGCTTCACAAAGTGCAGCTTTAAAATTACTGCATTTCAAGTTTTAATCATATAAATGTAACAACTATCTAAAGAATACTTAGTCATTCCTTTAGCATCGAAATGTCAGACAAAGCCCTTTAACTCATTCTTTCGATTCACTCAAAGCTGGTGACCAAGGGTCATCTCCAGTATAATTCAAAATCACGTACTTTCTCATGATGACTTGACCACAGTCAGGTTAGGATTTTTTAGTAATGAAATACTTGCTTCAGCAGCTCGCAGAGGAAAGAGTAGACGAAGAAATTATTGATTCAAATGAAAAACTTTAGGGTTAAAAGGTAAAGAAAGACTAGTCCTGGGAATAATAATACAACCCATCCAATTCCTGGAAAATCAAGAAACTCCATTCTTGGGGGCTGTGCCTCCTGCTATCTTTCCACAGAGATAGGTACTCAAACACTTCAATTCCTTAACTCATTGATTTCGGCCCAAGCACATAAATGAGAGCATTTAAGCAAACACATTTCCTTTCAAAATAAAAGTACTCTGAAGAAAAGATGCCTGTATAAAGAAAAACACTAAATCAGTAACAGGTGTTATCACACAAACCTTAAAGAATTTGCTAAAGCTTCTCTGATAACCTCTCTATCTGCAGGTAATTCCACTTGCTGTTTTAGAATGATATTGTATAATCGACCCCAATTTTTTCTGAATTTATTGAAAGTATCTGAGAGATACTATCACTGATAGTTCTTGTCCCACCTCCTAGGCTTGGTTCTCTGCTGTATTTTCTTGAGGTTGAGACCAAGTCCTCCAATTTTCATGAATGAATTGCAAAGAATGTTGAAACCCCTCCATAATTCTAAAGAGACTACAACCACACATCTATGAAATTGAAAGATCTGTAAGAATCTGAATAACAAGATGCAAAGACTTCAATGCTCCCTGATACCTCATTAACATAAGTGGTATATGTGCAAGGAATGAAGTCAATGTACAATTTACTCAACTAGGAAGATGCTGTAAAAGGGAAGAAAAAACAAGAGAAAAGCAGCTCCTACCCTGCCACTCGGGGAAGCAGGAGCATCCTCTGACATCGCTTGAATTGCAAACGCCTCGATAAGGAAAACCACAGTCATGGACACAGTGAGGAATATCGCATGCTTCCCCTTTCCAGTTTTTCGAACATTCACATTGGACAGTGTTGCTGCTATTACTGCTCTTACATTCTCCTCGGCCTGAGCAGTTGTTCGGACACATGTCAAAACTATAAAAACAGTGGGGGAGAATGAAATGAACACAAAGCAACACTTCAGTTAATTTAGCAGAATTTTTACCTACACAAGGTTTAAGACTCTCACAGGCTCTCCAGTTCATCCACAAGCATAATGGCGGCACTTACCAGTTGGCCTAAGTAGGGTCAGTCAACACTGCATAGCTAGGGCAGGTAATGAAATCAAATCCAACCCTGCTGGATTCTCACAGAGCAAGACAAGTTAAAAAACTTAAAGGGAGAAGAAATTCTTGCAAAATGTGTAGGCTTAGCTTCTCAAAGGTGGGATGACTATGCTGTTCTTGGTGGCCCCCCTAGTGATGGGCATTAGAAAACTGTCAAATATGGGGCATCTGGGTGGCTCAGTGGTTTAAAGCCTCTGCCTTCAGCTCAGGTCATGATCCCAGGGTCCTGGAATATGGAGTCCAGCATCAGGCTCCCTGCTCAGTGGGGAGTCTGCTTCTCCCTCGCCCTCTGCCTCTCCCCCTGCTCATGCTTGCTCTGTCTCAGTCTCTCTCTCAAATAAGTAAAATCTAATAATAATTTAAAAAGGAAACTGTCAAATACAAGCTTCCAAGTTTGGAGGAAGAGGATAAAACAAAGTGCTAACAATATATTACCCATCCTCATGGTGTGTATACCTCTGGACAGTTTCTAAAAGTTCAGAAAGTTAAAGATTATTGCCCAGAGTGGTATACTTAAAATTCCTCAATAAGTCATCTACTCATATCAGATGGAAGAAAAGGGAGAACCAGTTTAATTCAACAGTTTAACTATAATGCATCTCATAATAACACAACTTAACATAACTTATTGAGGGGCGCCTGGGTGGCTCAGTGGGTTAGAGCCTCTGTCTTCAGCCCAGATCATGATCCCAGGGTCCTGGGATCAAGCCCGGCATTAGGCTCTCTGCTTAGCAGGGAACCTGCTTCCTGTCTCCCCCCCTCCCACTTGCTTCTCTGCCTACTTGTGATCTCTGTCTGTCAAATAAATAAAATCTTTAAAAAAAAAAAAAAGGTAACTATATCGAGGAGCACCTGGGTGGTTTAGTCGGTTAAGCATCTGCCTTTCGCTCAGGTCATGATCCTGGAGTCCTGCAATCCAGCCCCACATCAGGCTCCCTGATCAGTGGGGAGTCCGCTTCTTTCTCTCCCTCTGTCTGCTGCTCTCCCTCCCCCTACACTCATGCTCTCTCCCTCTCTCAAATAATAATATTCAAAAAGAAAGATAACTGTATTGACAGCACTCTAAGAAGACATAATTCAGATTTCAAAGGGGAAAGCAATAACGGAACTATCAGGATACTTTTAAGAATGTAGATTTCTTCTAAGACCTACAAAGAAAACTAAAAAAGAAATTTTGTAGCAAAGCTTGATTAAAAAATCAGGAATCAGTTATTAAAAATAAGCTAATTAATGTTTACATCTGTACCCAAATATCAGTTTATGACATATTTATAATATATTCTATAATTCTATAAATATTTATAAATAATATTTTTATAATCTATGTAATTACAATGTAAGAAATATGTATATCTACTTCTCAAGACCCAGTAAGCAGAATAAGTACATAAAGTATTTGGTTAAAAAAGCTGAATGAGGGGCGCCTGGGTGGTTCAGTGGGTTAAAGCTTCTGCCTTCTGCTCAGGTCATGATCCCGGGGTCCTGGGATCGAGCCCCGCATCGGGCTCTCTGCTCAGCAGGGAGCCTGCTTCTCCCCCACCCCCCGCCTGCCTCTCTGCCTACTTGTGATCTCTGTCGGTCAAAAAAGGAATAAAATCTTAAAAAAAAAAAAAAAAAAAAGCTGAATGACATTCTTATCAGCCTCTAGAAAGTGGTGTCTACCATCTCTATGATAATATAAACACAGAAGTAAAGCTTCAATTTCATCTTTTTAAGAAAAAGGCCTTTGTAAGACAATGGTTTATAAAAACTAAACTTTAAATCTCAGATTGGACTTGTTATGGTAAAATGGCTACAATAATCATACTTTGTTTTTATAAAAGGTCTAGGATAAAACTGTAGTAAAGCATTGCCACGATGTGCTCACCCTTATGCCTCACACCAAAAATATGTCAAATTATAATTTCCTACTGACACACTTATTAACCACATACCAGGGAATGGCACACAACCAAAACTTCATGTTACTGAAAAGAAAAGAGGAGGGAGTAACCCTTAGCACCTACTAAACTAAGGGAGGGCAAATATCACAACTTCCCCTGTGCCTCAACTTCTCCACTCCAGTGCCCTCAGGCATACGTGGACTTCATGTGCCAAAAATTAATTATGAGCACTCGTTACAGTTACATAAAATCTCAAAACACAAAAATCATTTTTGAATCTCAGAAGAATGAAAGTGGTAGGTAATACATTGAAACATCTGTGCGTATGTCTAAATTGGAGTAATGAGAAAATTAGTCTAATTATTTGTGCTTAAAATGTGACTCGGAAATAAGATGAAATGCCAATTTGTGTGAAAATGAAATATAACTATTTTTCTCTTCTTTGAGAAGAAAATTAGGCAACACCAAAGTAGCTGTGGGTACTAGTCTCAAGGGTCCCCCAGTTGAGGCAGGTCCAAAGGTAGGATTCCGTGCAACCTGAGGACACCTAGAAAATGAGTAACAATGTTTTATGTGTGTCCTTCTGGGCATTCTTCTGGGAATAAAGAACATTGTTTAATTTGGCTTTTCAAAGGGTCTAGAAGCCCCAGAATGGTTTAGGGCTCCTTTTTAAAGAAGAGAGATCTTGGAACCAAGAAGCTAGTAAAATTTAGGATAACCTTAACATTCCTTCACTTAATAAATAAATACTAATTCTGGTCTCCAGGAGAGATCAAGGCTTCCCCTACACCAATCAAGGTAAGAAAAACATGCATTTCTTGTTAATGACCACAGAGCTAACAGAGCTCTCCAGTGATGGGGCAAAGGGCTTCCGGTGTCAAGGGATATTTGAATTGCCTTCTCTCTAGGGATGCTCCCTCCCGGGAGTTTCTCTTCTTCCCCAAGGCTGCTACTATGAGGAGACTTGGAAGAGCAAAGACTGTACCTAAGAACCTGTAGGGAACTTGGAATGGGGCCTGGATGGATGGCTAGAGCAATGTTCCTCAGAGTGTGGACCATGGACGGGGGAGGCAGCATCACCCAGGAGCTTATCAGAAATCTGAATTCTCAGGCTCCAGCTCTGTTGAACTCTGGTCTCTGGAGAAGGGCCAGGGATGCGTGTCTTAACAAGCCCCTCCAGGAGATCCCTGTGCATGTGAAGTTCGGAAAGTACCAGCCTAAGCCTTTACCCTTCCCTTCAGAGCTGAACTTCTTCCCAGAGTGTCCCACTCTCAATGCTGTGACTCTCTAACCTTCCATTCTGAACTGTGCCTCTCCTAGGCCCCTGACTCCACCCTCCCCAGCTAGGGTCACCTAGGGGCCCCCTCTGCTTACTCAACCTCATAGCTGTCAGTTCCCTCCTTAAAACTCTTTTCTGAGCTTCTGTAACGATACAGCCCACAGGCATTCCTCTACCCCTTAGCTGCCTCTACTGCCTTTCTCCTCACTGTGCACACGCCCCATAAGCCAGTTACTGTCCATGTGCCAGTGATTCCCAGATGACAACCCCTGGCTCTTCTGGGCCCTGGATCTGAATATCAATGTCCTGCTTAGACATCTCACATGTACCCAACCAGACTCATCAGTCTTTCCTCTCAACCCAGCCTTTATACCTGCCCGGCTCATTAAAAATCAGCTTGCCAGTACTGTGATACACTGGTATAGTGTATCTAGTACTAGTATAGCTAGTACTGTGATACAGGCTGCCAAGTCACAAACCTTGGGCACCTGAAAAGCTAAATGAGTGTACCAAGCAAGACAGAGATCGGTCTAAAGAGGCCTGAAAGAATCCGGAGACCCTGAGAAAACAGGCAGATAAAGAATCCAGCATAAAGGTTATGCATGGAGCTTCCTGCCGCTGCCAGGAGTTAGCAAACTAATTCTGTAAAAAAACCACATAGTAGGGGCGCCTGGGTGGCTCAGTGGGTTAAAGCCTCTGCCTTCGGCTCAGGTCATGATCCCAGGGTCCTAGGATCAAGCCCCGTATCTGGCTCTCTGCTCAGCAGGGAGCCTGCTTCCCTTCCTCTCTCTCTGCCTCTGCCTACTTGTGATCTCTGTCAAATAAATGAATAAAAATTTTTTTAAAAAGTTAAAAAAACCAAAAAACCACATAGTATCTTGGGCTCCGTGTGCCGCAGACGCTATTACAGAGCCCTTGCTTAGGGAGCTTTATGGGTTTAACTACTTAGGAAAACAAACATTTCTTTTTTTTTTTTTTTTTTTTTAAAGATTTTATTTATTTATTTGACAGAGAGATCACAAGCAGGCAGAGAGGCAGGCAGAGAGAGAGGAGGAAGCAGGCTCCCCTAGACAGCAGAGAGCCCGATGCGGGGCTCGATCCCAGGACTCTGAGATCATGACCTGAGCCGAAGGCAGCGGCTCAACCCACTGAGCCACCCAGGCGCCCCGGAAAACAAACATTTCTTAAGAGTAAAATAAGAAAAGACAAAAGTTAGCCTCTCTCCTATCATGACAAATTCCCAAAGCTGTCTAGGTCTGTTTGTCTACATTTCCTCTGTAATCTCAGCTAAGTCCTCATCAGTGGGCCAACAAATGAGTACATGAGAATGACTAATATCTGTTAAATGCACTTAGCAAGAAGCCCCAGTGTTTTCATCCATCAGCAGAAAAATGCCCCTCTTTTCCAGAAGAAGCTCAAAGGCAAGACCTGGGTTGAAACTGTGGTCCCAGATCTTTGACAATGTATTTCACAATTTCCCAACAGTTTCCTCCATTATAGAATGAGTGAAAAACACAGTGCCGTACTTCACTGAGTTTTTAAAAGAACTTTAGACAAGAAAATCCACGCATACCGCTTAGTGCAATGTCTGGCACACCATCAGCCCTCGATACGTGTTAGTCGTTATTACTGTTAAATACAGTGTCTGAATAAAATCACAACGATTAGACTTAAATATCTTACTTGTAAGTGATATTAAATCCAGTCAAATTATAAGCAGCATCACTAAAAAAATGCAGCAGGGCATAACCTGATGTGGTAACAACCTCAGGGACAGTCTCGTTGCCATCTCTCTCAGGGACGATGAGGCCACTGAAACGAAAACACATTTCTTACAAAGGGAAACATGGTCACCAGGCACATCACATGGCAGCACACAAATTCAAACCTGGAATTCATCCTTAGAATTTTTTAAAAAACACTTTGAAGAAGAGGGGCAAATTCTCGTGATAAACACATACTGCCACCTGATCAGTCTGGATCCAGTTCTGAATCCTCTGAGGAACAGATCTGAATCTTTCGCCAGGCCCTCCTTTATCCTGGGTTATATTTCTAATGAGATTTACAATCAATGGCCCTATTCTTTTTTTTTTTTTTTTGTATATAAAACTATTTCTAATTCCTCTTCAAAAAACTGAGTTAACCTTCAAAATCACAGTAACAAACTTCATGAGTTGATGAATGTCAAATACAAACTACTGAAAAGTATGAAAAATAAAATTATAAATAAACTTGATAAACACCCACAATTTTTTTAATATTTGTATTGCTTTATTTGTCAGAATCACAATCTTAACACTATTATCATTCTGATGTACTTTCTTTGCCTAATCAATACCATATAACATCTTATATTCTATTTTATAAGTAATACATCATTAGCAATTCCCCTCTCATTCAGAGTCCAACACCCAAGATATTTGCTGGGTGTCTAGAGAGCATTAAAAATTATCAAGTCAAAGGGTCTAAAGGATGGCTTTAAACCTCTTGATCCATAAAACCAACTTGCTTTCCAGAAGCAATATGTCAACTTGAAATCTCATCAATATGAGAATGCAAAGGTCCAGCCTACCTCACTTGCCAATAGGAAGGATTACCAGTCCTATAATAGCTTTGGTAATTTAATAAGTAAAAACTAATTGTTTTATATTGTGGTTTTGAGTTTCTTTTATACTCCTGAAGTTAATCATTTATTGTATGTTTACCTGCCTTCTGCATTTCTTCATATGTGCACATCTTCTGCCTGATTATCAATGCACTATCACCACCACGACGTTCAGTGAAAACCTGAATCCTTACCAGGTCCTATGCAATCTGCTCCACACACACAGCCCCATCCAATGAACAAACATCTCATCTATTACTCTCTTCCCTTCACTCACTCAACCCCAGCCACACTAGTCTCCTTGCTTTCCTATAGCACACACCACATAAACTCCCCATCAGGCCCTATGACAGTCTTTGACAGTCATTCACTGTGACCTAGCAATTCTAAGTTCTTTGTAGAACTAATACTTGTTCATGTACACAAAGACAAATATACAACAGTCCTCACTGTAGCACTATTCAGAATGGCAAAAGCTTGAAAATCACCTAGGGGCACCTGGCTGGCTCAGCTGGTAGGGCATGTGACTCTTGATCTAGGAGTCATGAATTAAGCTCCACGTTGAGCATAGTGATTACTTAATAAAAAAGGAGTGGGGGCACATGGGTGGCTCAGTCGTTAAATGTCTGCCTTCAGCTCAGGTCATGATCCCAGGGTCCTGGGATTGAGCCCCGAATTGGGCTCCCTACTCAGCGGGAAGCCTGCTTCTCCCTCTCCCACTCTCCCTGCTTGTGTTCCCTCTCTCGCTGTGTCTCTCTGTGTCAAATAAATACATAAAATCTTAAAAAAAAAAAAAAAAAAGAGGAGGAGGATAAAGAGGAAGAAGACGACCACCTAAATACGAATCTGCAGGGAGTCAGATGACGAATCATTCCATATCTGTAAGCCTGCAGAACTAACAAGGAGCTCGTCAAGGCATTCCAGTAAGTAGGGGAAAAGACAAGCTGCAAAATAATGGGCCTAGCGTATGTGTACATTTACACATATTTAGATAAGTGCATATAAAAATAATGAACTGGAAGAATACAGAAGCAGGAAATGAGGAGGGGGGATGTGATTTTCATTCAGTAAGATTTTAAATATAAAGACAGAATTCTAGGAACTTGAGAACTCCAGAGGTGCTCCGAGTTTACAAAACAGGGAAGCATTTTGCACCATGTAGTCAGCTAACCAAAATTTACTGATGCTGCAGGTGAGCCACGTTCTAGGCACTAGGAACACAGCAGTGAAGAACTCCCTGCCTCCATGGAATTCACATCAGGGAAATGACGAATGAGCCTAGATATACCCCCACCCCCTGCCCTGACACACAGGTGTGTGTATGTAACACCAGGCAGAGATAAATGCTAAGAATAAAACAGTGAAAGAACAAAAGGTGCTACTTTAGAAAGGGGCAGCTAGAGAAGGTCTCTCGGGAAAGGTGACCTTTGGTTAGAGACCTACATGAAGGTTTCAACTGTGATCATGCTTTCATCAATTTCAGGTACCAAAACCCCTTGAAATGCTGAGCAGGGACGTACCTGTTAGAGGGCCACCTCGAAACAGGTATGTTGGAAGTAATCTTCCCAGAAGAAATACTGCCCCAGGAATGACTGGGGGCTTCAGTCACATGCAGAAGACCCACACTCTTCTCCTAGCATGAGCTTCAGGACCAGAGATGGGAACACCAATCCTCAATCCACATGCCTGGGCATGTCACATACATCTGGCAACCTCAGTGTCCTCAAAGGTGCACAGGCAGAAATCCTGCCTGCCTCGCAGCGATGTAACAAGGAGCAAACTATTACAGCACGTAAGTCCTGAAACACCGCCTCACACTAGCAGGTGCTCAGTAAGCGATGGCTCATGGTGTTCATTACTCATACGGTGGGGACATTTAAGTGTGCGGGACAGAACAGTAGGCTGGGCGGAAGGAGGAAGGGCAGAATCACACGGCGGGGGTGGAGGGCTGCGTGCACCAGATGAACATGATGCTGGAGAAAGGGGGTCAGCTTCCTCACTGTCAGAGAGACTCAGGCACTGGCTTCTTTTCACTTTGAAAACCTGACATTGTGACAGCTTTGGAATGTGCCACTTTCTCCCAGTGAAAATAAAACAACCCGTTTATGACAAAAATAAACTTCTACAGGGTAAATAAATACAAACACAGCCTCAGCCCAGCACACAAGGCAATGGAAAGTGCGTGGGTGAGAAAGCGATGCTGCAGGCGTGCCATTCAACTGTCACCACGAGCCGCCTCCCACCTCCATCCCCTTCTCCTACCCCCAGGTAGATAAATACACTCAGCCAAGGCTTAGGGGGCAGCCACGTGTTCAGTTTAAGCCAATCAAGAACTGCCTACCCTGGGGTTCTGTATAATCTTTTATTTTAAACCACTGTTTAGAACAATTTTTGAAAACCACCGTTCAAAGATATTTTCTTAATTCAGTAGAATGGTGCCAGGCAGACATGGGTTCTCTGAACACACCTGGGGCACACCCTGCCTTCACCAACTATACCAGTCGAGTTTCCTGGCAATCCTAGATTTGACACACCTGTCTCCTTGCAAGATGAGATGCCCCCCCGGGGGCAGGGAGATGGGGAAGGGAAGCCAGATTCTTCAAGTTCAAGCTCAGAGTCTGGCGACGGGGCTGGGGTTAAGGTTAGGTCCTGGTGGAAAGATCCACGAACCTGCGAGGTACCTGCCTTTGATGGCTTCTCTGTGTGCCGTGGTCTGACCACAGCGTCAGCTGGGTCAGCAGAGTGCCGGACAACTGACGGATTCCTGTTCTCATGAAGCTCTTCTAATAGCTCTCTGTCACAGTCTCAACAATTGCCCTATGAATAGATGCCCCCCCCACCAGAAAAAACCACCAACTCTCCAAGGAATAATGTTCTGATGAAGAAAGTTCTCAGAAAGGAAATCTCTTCTCCCCGCTCCATCACCACTCCCCACTCTACGACAGCTCCTAGCAGAGGGGCCGTTCACAGAGGTGCTCCATTGACACATCTGTGGAAGTCTGTGTCCCACAAACAGAATGTGGTAGAGCTGGAAGAATCCTGCCGCCCCCGCGACTCTCAGATCTGTCTGCTAACGGAACCTGGTCTGATAGGCAAATTTTATTCAGAACTTCAATATGTCAAAGATAAAGGCCATCAGCCAGTTCAGAATCAAATGGAACTTTGGAGTTCAGAGAAAGCACAGTAGAGCACTGGGACCTGAGGCAGCAGAAACTGAGAACTAGAGCACGTTGAGTTGCTCCGAGTTGACAGAGAGACTTGGGCAGAAATGACATCCACAGTCCCCACCTTCGGAATCCCACGGGTTCTCATTAGCTGGGCCTTGTGCCCACAGGCTCCCACCACTCGGCCTCCTCCTCTGCCTGCAGGTCACCATGGGGTTGATTCTTCCCCCCAAAGCTCTCCTGACCCAACAGCCCTCCTCAGCCCCCACCTTGTGCCTCATGGCTTCAACAGTGGTTTTCAAGGTGTTCTGCACATCACTGCTTCTAGGGGTTTCATGTTTCAGGCAAATTTCAATTTTCGAACACATATTTGTTCACTGTCATTTCAGAAACTTCAAACTACATATGTTATTAGTTTAAATTTTAAAATAATCCATGTGTTAATTTATATTATTAGTTAATAAGCTTTTATAGAGAACCATAAAAACCTTCCAGTTATTTGTACATATACTTTGGCTTCTCTCAGAAGTCACTGACCCGAAAAATTACAGCCTCCTGCTTGCTTTGTTGCTGCTGTTGCTTCACGTGTGTGCTCATCAGCTATACAGTCCAGGGGAGCCACAAGGCGATGCACCTGCTTGGCTGAAGTTCCCACAAGGGCCACTGGCAAGCTGAGTCAGAGTGCCCGGCACATAATAGGGACTCCATGAATTCTGAGTCATGAACTCAGTGTTGAGTGAATCCCCAGAACTCCCAGCAAGTGTTATCATGGAAACATCCTATTATAGACAGTTTTCATGCTTATTGAAGTTTGGGGTGCCTCTTGACATAACCCAAGGTATGCTTCAAATTCTGGCATAAAAGTGTGTACTCCCCACACTTGGATGATGACATATTACTGATTAGCACGGCCTATCTATCCTATTCTTTGGCTCTATTGGTGAACCTCTGAAACCCAGAAAATGACCTTTGTTCTCAGTTTAAAGATACAATGGAGAGAATTCTAAGCCAAAGGAAGTGGAGAAATATCAGGGCACATTAGTCCCCTGATTTCCTGTGTCCTTGGGCTGCTGTGTACTGTTTATTCTCTGTTACCTCCTCACTGACATGAAACGTCAAGACTAACCCCACGTGAGGAATACAAAAAATATTTGTTGAATTGATATCTTTTTAAAGTCAGGGAAATAAAATGTCAGGAAGAAATCCGGAAAGTCAGCTGCAGATGAAAAAAATGACAGCTATGGCTCTCTATAGCCATATATAGAAAAACACATTTTATAAATTCTCTATCAAGTAAAAGGAAGAAAAATGGATGGTTTTGAATTCCCATGTAGTCAAAAACATAATAAACAACAAAGCTACTTACTGTTAATAAAACGAAAATGCCAAAACAATAGAGAACATACCATATATTTAGTGTTAAGCTGTTTCATTTAACTACTAATCAAGAATACACTTGCCCAGGGGCGCCTGGGTGGCTCAGTGGGTTAAGCCGCTGCCTTCGGCTCAGGTCATGATCTCAGAGTCCTGAGATCGAGCCCCGCATCAGGCTCTCTGCTCTCTAGGGGAGCCTGCTTCCTCCTCTCTCTCTGCCTGCCTCTCTGCTGCTTGTGATCTCTCTGTCAAATAAATAAATAAAATCTTTAAAAAAAAAAAAAAGAATACACTTGTCCAAAAAAAAAAACCATAATCGGTATTTTCCTCACTTCCCACAGGTTACTCTTCATTTTCTGTGTATTCTTCAAAAAAGTCCTCCTCAGCCATATTAATGCATATACATAAATACACACACACACACACACACACACACACACACTAGATCAAATTCAACAAATAACTCCTGAAAGGCCTATGTGATGAGGACCCCAAGGATCAAGGTGACTGGTTCGTGATCCAAATTTTTCACAGAAATAATATCCAATATATTCCTCACAAAACATTCTTTAAATGTAAACTGCACCACCACCATAAGAAGTGAGTAAACTTGATACAACTGCCACAATTTTATAGATGAGGAAACTGAAACAAGAGGTCCAATACTCAGCCCATAAACTTACCCAGTGGCTACAGGAAACCAAGTCAGGCCTAGAGCACAAGTGACAGAGGACTCCAGAACTAGCACCTTCTCCATGAAATAAAGGTGGTAAGTGACAATAAGAGTTTGCAATCTAGGAAGTAAGTCTGAATTCAGAAATCAAATAATGATTAACTAGTACTTATGTGATGAAACTTACCTAAAGGCAGCAACTAGTGGTGCATAAATTGAGTCTCCATCATAAACATATAAATGGTCCCAACTACACTCTGTAGCAAAATGATTGAAACGGAGTCTCATTATTCTATTTGGCCTGAAAAGAACAAGAGAGGCAGTTTATAATAATCATCATAACTATAAAACATTTGAGAAGAAACTAGAGTAAGATCAATTTTTAAAGAACTTACAGGGAGAGAAGAAATGAATAGTACAAAAACGACATTCCCTCATATGTCGAAGATTTATTTCCTACTTACTGTGTGCAAAAGACCACGAAGCACACGATGGTAAACAAAATCACCCTGACCTATGCCTCTCTGGGCCTTACAGTCTGTACAGTGGCTGTTTTTAAACAGCCTGTGAACCAACCCATTAGCCCTTCCGTTTCAGCACTTCCTTCCTTACTCAACTTCGATTCCACACCATGTCATTTCACAAACACAACTGCCAGTTCTCTATACTTGCCTACCCTTCTGCCTTTCCATACAACTACCTGGCCAAGGCCTGGTCTAGAGCACACCAGTTATCCACTTTGACTGAGATTAAATGCAAAGAAAACTAAGCCTATCACTGGTCCTCTAGAGGTCCTCAAGACCACCAGGTAGGCTGGTTTCAGAACAGGTCACAGCTTACCAACTTCCAATTGGTACTTCAATTCTGCTAGCAGTGCCACTACTCATTCTCTCTCTCCTTCTCCACAACTGCTGCTCGCTCCCAATTACTATTTCAAACCATTTGGTGCCACCTCCCTGCTTAAGCTCAGCACCCAGACAAAATTCTCCCAATTCCCCATTTTCCAAAACAGATACACCCACCCACTCCTCTGTCCATCTTTCAAACACTCCACATCTCCCTCTCATCTGGAACTTTCCACATTCTCATTTTAATCTCTTTAAGTATCACGTATTTTATAAAAAATAACAAAACATAAAAATGTCAAATCTCAACTCTCCTTCCAGCTATTACCTCTCTGCTGAAGACAGTGAACCTCCACACAAGACTTTGCTTTCTCTGTTTCCTCACATCCCACTCACCCTCTTTGCTCTCAAACCTGGCTTCCACCCAAACACTCCACTCAAAAAACTCTTGGTAATATCAACACTGTTTATATCCTGGCGATGCCTAATTATATGTCTCCAGCCTAGGCCTTCCCTCTACTCCACACTCGTTTAGCTAACATCTCTAAGCAAACAACTAAGTAAGTTCATAAACAAGTTAACTCAGCTGATTATGGCTCCTGTGAAGATATGAAAGGAATGTGATGTGTACAACAGGTGGTAGGGAATTACCCCCAGAAATCTCTAGAAGATTTGAGAACAAGAGATAAGCCATGTGAAACAGATGGGGAACCATGTTTTGGACAGAGGGAACAGCACAGTCTTAAAGTCCAAGTGAGAAAGAGGGTGATGTGTCCAAGCAACATGAAAAAAATCAGTGTGTCTGCAACACAGAAAACAGAGGATACCACACGAGATGAGAAGTGAGAGATGGGCAAGGTGCAACAGCAAAAGCCAGGAGGCCAATTTCAGGGCTATCACAGTGGCCCAGGAAAGACAGGATGGTTGGTGTCTTGCAATGGTAGAGATGAAGATGAAAAGGAGAAGGTAGATGGACTGGGAAGGCATTCTAGAGGGAAAACAGGCAGAACTTACTGACAGGCTGAATATGGGGATAAGGGGAAAGAGGAGTTAAAGGTTTTCCTCAGGCTGAGGAGGACCAACCAGGAGCACCTTCAGAGGACTGCTACAGAAGGACATCAGATCGGAATGAACTGATAGAAAGCATAGGGGCAAACAACTCCTTAAAACAGCAGTTCTGGAGATGTGGGCCTCGCGATGCTGGGAGGGGCCCTGAGACTCTTTGAGGCGGTCTAGGAGATCAAATCTATGTTCATGATAATCCTAAAATATCACGCGCCTTTATCAGCACGTTGGTATTTACTAGGTGCGGAGCAATGTGGGGAGAAAGATACTGCCAGCACCTTGGGACAGAGCGAGGCAGATGCACCAAACTGGACCAGTAATCCCTGTTATTCTTCACCACTACACGCTCACAGAAAAAGGAAAAATGGGTTTTGTGTAAGGTTATCTTTATTAAGCGGTAAAAATGATTAATGTCATTATCTTGAACCACGAGTACACATCTTTTGAATATTTAATAGGACAGGACAGGAAGTAGGGACAAAGCACTTCTGCAGCCCAGCACAGGACAGTGGTCTCAAGGAAAATCACTCTTGGAATCGTTTGGGTGGTGAGCTGAACCAATTGCTCTTTTTCCCAGAACGCCATCTATCATTTTTACTTAAAAGAACAACTAACAGGGTGCCTGGGTGGCTCAGTGGTTTAAAGCCTCTGCCTTCAGCTCAGGTCATGATCCCAGGGTCCTGGGATCGAGCCCCATATCAGGATCTCTGCTCAGCAGGGAGCCTGCTTCTACCTCTCTTTCTGCCTGCCTCTCTGCCTACTTGTGATCTCTGTCAAATAAATAAATAAAATCTTAAAAAAAAAAAAAGAACTAACAAACTATGGTTACTCAGACTTGTATATCTGGAAGATACTTTTTTTTAAAAAAATGAACAAAGCAAGTCTGTCACTTCAAAGAAAACAACTGACAGTATTTGGTGCCAAAGATAAAATGTAAGCTTTCAAGCAATAATTAGAGTTATGGAAAATTTGCATCTGCCACCCAGATGCAACTTCCCAGTGCTTCAAACTTTCCAATGAGATTAATGGTGATGTTAACCAAGTGATTTCTTTTCATGTTATGTCATGAAATGTATAAAAATTTGGAAGATCTGCGTAATTCAGAGAACTACGAGTTTCCAAATAACCCATATGTTCTGTTACAGAACCATCCAAGGGTTAAAGAGCCATTCCAGAGTATAAGAAAACCAACAGATTTTAACTTAAGTTCCCAAAGTTCATGAACATTGAACACTGTTTCAGATTCCACACTGCAATTCACTTTAAAGAAATTACCACTTGTCAAGCTTTGATGTTTGATGGTGTATCAAAAGAGACCATCCAAAATTATTTAAAAGGGTTATCAAAATCTCCTTCCTTTTTCTACTACATATTCAAGACTAATTTTCTTCACATACTTCATCCACAATAACATACTGTAACAAAGTGAATGCAAAAGAAAATATAATAATCTAGCTACCTTCTATCGAGCCACAGAAGAAATTTTATAAAAATGTAAAACAATACCATTCTTTTCAGTGATTTTTTAAAAAATATAGGGTTTATTTTTTCATAGAAATGTCACATGGGCTGACATGTAGTAGGTTTTTAAATGAGTTAATGAAGAATTTCTTTAATATTACTTTATAATAATAATAATAATAAACATAGATATAATCCATACAAACAAAAGTTATTTGGAAATCTCAAAATTTAAGAACATAAAGGGGTCCTAAGACCACAAAGTTTGAGAAACGTTGCTTTAAAGATCTGCCATAAAGAGAGGTGCCTGGGTGGCTCAGTCAAATAAGTAACTGATTCTTGATTCTGGCTCAGGTCTTGATCTCAGAGTCATGAGCTCAAGCCCCACACTGGGCTCCATGTCCAGCATGGATCCTACTTTAAAAAAAAAAAAAAAAAAAAAATGCCACATGAGAAGAAGGAAAAGGCAAGAGCTGAAGGGTATAGGAGGCCCAGAGAAGAAGCCATTTGAACAATAACAGTTATTTTTATTTTCCTGCCTGCAATAAAAATAGGTACTTACAAAAATGTTATAATACTGTAATTGTCTACTGCTTTAAGCAAACCATTTCAAATATTCAAGTTTTAACGATTATAATTGAATATACAAATTTCTGGTATGTACAATTCATTCACAGCTTTAAATCGACACAAAACTTTTTTTCAGATTAACAATGAAGATTAAGAAAAATAAATTCACTTGTCAGATGAAAAGTTATCAAATAAAATACATTTTATTTTACAGATTGTTAATTTTGCTTATAAAAAAAAGTAATGCCACACTGAGCTTGGAAAAAAAATTAAAACAGGCATTACTACTTACTGTCCTTCAATAAGCCATGTGCACTTCGTTTTATATTTATAATTTCCAGGTCCATCTGTCACAAACCCAGAAGATCCAGTTAGTCTGTAATGCAAATTAAAAAAAAAAAAACAAAACACTTAGGTCCATCAAAATTTCACATATCAATATCTTTCTTAAAAGTTAAGCATAGTGGTATATTAATGCATAACCAGAAGAGAATCACTGGATAGTTATAGTCAGAGTATACTAATCTGGGTGAAAAGAATACTTGCCATAAACTTAAGAAAAGGGGGTACAAATACACTAAAACTAACAGGAATAAGCAAAAACATACCTAAATCTTTCTAGCTGAGACAAGAAATCCATACTTTGTACCATGAAAATGGCTACAAGAACTTACTTATAAATATGAGTTGGTTTTTAAAAAGTAAGATTACACAGTTACAGGTACAATTTAAGTGTATCTAATACAGTAACACTGTGGGGAACACAACTGAGATGGGCAAGCACATCAAGCTACAACACACAATGGACCCATCACACTCATCTTTTTCTGAAGGCAATCTACCACACCCCATGAGCAGTGTCCTCCAGAACCTGTCTTCCCTCACTCTTGCCAAGTCTGAAGTTTGTCAATATTTTTAGGTCTTGCCAATATGATAGGCATATCCTCATATCTCATTAATGTTTGGACTGCTACTAACCCTGAAGCTTGAATATCTTCTCATATGTTTTGGTCATTTGCATTTCCTCCTTTGTGAATTAAAATTCCATATTCTACGCCCACTCTGCCACCAAGTTGTCTTTTTCAAATTAATGTTTAGGAGCTCTTTTTATATTAAGGAGCTCCCATCTGCATGTTAAATACACTAAAAATATATTTTCTCAGTTTACTTTTTTCTTTATATTTTGTGTCTGTTATCTTTTGCTATATATAACTTTTTAATATTTAAGAAGGATGCTATTTCCTTCCTCACTGCTGTTTCTAGATCATTTTTCCTCCCTCTTCCATCACCAGTGTCAGCCTTTCTGAAATAGATGTTCTCCTCTGGATCTGCCTCCCCTACTTTCTGAGTTAACTACTGGCATCCCAGTTACTCCTTCTCACCCACTGATACTAGCATCTAGCTCACTGCCTTCCATTCAACTACATCAACATTCAAGATGTTCCAATCAGAACTCAAGCTCTCCATTTCTTAACTTCACCATTAACGGTCTTTTCCTCCACCCCACATGAGCCATCCACTCCTCTGGGCCCTGCCATTATCTGTGAGAGCAAAAGCACCAAAATCTTCATTTTAGGCATCCTATGCTATGAACACTATCTTTTGTCTCAAGTTCATTTAGCCTAGCTCCCCTTTTCCAGGAAGTCATCAGCCCTATGGGGACCTCCAATCCACTGATTTCTTCATGTTCATCACCCACCTCCCACACACTTGACTTTCCCCTTACCTATTTAAGATTCCATGGTCCATCACAATATCATCACCTGCAAATCCCTTGGCTTCTTTCCCCTTCTCTCCCTCTGCCGTACTTACCTGGATATTAATCTCTCCATGACTTACTCCCAATATCCATTTTACCCCCAAAATGTTAGTCTGAGCCAATTGTGGTGTTCTGTGTTCCCTGCCAATAACTGATTAGAAATATGTATCAGTTAAGATTAGGTTCTAGCCCAAATGACAGAAAAATGTAAATTGTAATGGCTTAACCAAGATATAAAGTCCAAAGAAATATAGAGCACCTACGGGATTTCTATAATCAACAGGGACCTAATGCTCTTCTACCTTGTTGCCCTGTCATCCTCAACATGTGGCTTCCACCTAATAATCCAAGACAGCTGCTCAAACTCCAGCTTTTATTCCCACATTCTACCCAGCAGGAAGGAAAAGAAAACAAGATGCACATCCCCTCCCTCTAAGTCAAGTAGGACAATTCCACTTACATCCCCTCAGCCAAAAGTTACTGACATATCTAAATGGAGAGGGAGGCTGGGAAATGTAGCCATTATTCCAGATGACCGTGTACTCAATGAAAAATCAGGACTCCCTTTACTAGCAAAGGGGAAAGAGGCCAAAAAGGTCACTGCTAGTCTCTGTCACAGCATGTAATCTAATACTTGGATGTGAGGGCAAATCTTGATGGAGAGCTTCCAGGAACTATTTTTTCATTCTTAAGAAAGACACTGTGGTAGACAGGGAGATATATCACATTAATCTCCCTTTTGAAGAAGGATTTACTGCCTCGTCAACAGGCAGCCTCCCAGTGTCAGTTTCTTCAGGAGTTGCCTTGCCCCAAGTCATGCCTTGCCCAGGGCAGCTCACACCATAAAGGGTAGAAAGGCTGGAGGAGCATTTCAATCCAATACTAAACAACTCTGACACACAATCCTTTGCTCTAAGCTCCCCTTTGTCAGGCCTGCATTGAAGTTCAACTTCTTCCTTTACCCAATTCTAATTCCTGCCCCTTCCTCTCACAGGTGTTATAACCAATTTGTGCCCCAAACTCCATCTCAGCAACACAGCCATCATGGTACGAGGTTGAACACAAAGCCAACACCAAGAATGACAAACCAAAGGAATGCAAAGGTCCATGAAAAGCAGTACCAACCAACCAACCACAGAGGCCTCTCCAGGTTTATGGGCTAATACAGTTCCCAATGGTTACTGGTTCATTGTGTATGTGTGTGTGGACACATTTAGGCCCTTTTAGCTTAGAAAGTTTTCTGGTTTTTTACTATGCTTGTTTTGCTCCCAAGAGTTTCTATGTATTTCATATACATAGACATACTCAGGCCTTGGCAAATCAGCATCACTTTTAGAAAAGAAATAGGTCATTTTAATTTTAAATATTCACTGAATATCTTTAAATCTAGCATTTATATAATTTTACAAATGACGAATAGCTACGATCACAGCCTTTTGTCAACTGAAGGACAATTCTCCCTTTGTAACTTCTCTCCCCAAGTACTCCCACTCACCCTACACTAAGATAAACATTTAACCACCTCATAAGCATTCTTAACTATTTTTCTTCATACTTATGAGCCCATGATATATGCACAGCTCTCTTCAATTAATGTTTGGCTACACAGTTATGCAAACTTTTCTGCATCTTCCTTTTTCTCACACAACAAAACTCTGGGAGAATCTCTTCAACCAACAGGTATGAGTCTCCATTCATTTTTTCCATGGAGCATTATCTTCTAACCTACTGGGATAGCATTTTTTTCTGCCTTTCTCCTAATAACATTCATTTTGTTTTCAGTCAGCTGGCATTATGCACATTGCTGCAATAAATATCTCTATACATATGGCCTTACTTGTGCTTTAATTTCTAAGAATAGAATCTTAGTAGGAGGATTACTGGGCCAAAGGAAGATGAATTTTAATTGTTAACCAAGCTGCCAAATTACTTCCAAAATGGCTGTAACAATTTACATTTACACGAGCAGGACGTGAGAGCATGCTCTTCTCCACGTCCCCTCCCCGCCCCCCATATTAGATATTCTTTTTTTTTTTTTTTTTAAAGATTTTATTTACTTATTTGACAGAGAGAGATCACAAGTAGGCAGAGAGGCAGGCAGAGAGAGAGGAAGGGAAGCAGGCTTCCTGCTGAGCAGAGAGCCCGATGCGGGGCTCGATCCCAGGACCCTGAGATCATGACCTGAGCCGAAGGCAGCGGCTTAACCCACTGAGCCACCCAGGCGCCCCCCATATTAGATATTCTTGTTTCTTTTACATGGTTAACCTGAAATTCTCTGTGTTCTAGTGAATGGCCAGTAGAGTCTTTATTGAAAGGGGAAGGTCAGGAGTATCAACTACACTTTCAGGTCAAGTTTAATATTATCACTGATGATGCAGGTACACACACTGGTACTGCCTGTGCTCACTTCACCAGCAGTCACACAAAGGCATCTGACTGAAACAGAAAGACTCTTCAACAATAGGAAACCAGATACAGAGAATTAGTAACTCCTTGCTTCTACCAAGTTCCCAATTCAAGAATACACTGGGGGTGATTCTGTACTACAAACATACAGGGAAAATAGGGGAACCCTCCATAGGAGGCAGGTTTCAAAGGAGCCATTATAATATTTCTTTTTAATTATTATTAAAGTACATTGGTATTATTACCAAGTAAAGTGGCCTATTTTAAAAAAAAAAAAACCACAAACCTCAACTTTTCTCACCTGTTTAGATTCTCTTTGTGGTCAAGTATGTTGGACATCGATAAAACTTTGATCAAAGTTCCTCGGACATTAAAAAAAAAAAAAAAAAAAAAAAAGACAATCTATCATAGGAATGTAAACCAGTACTGATTCATGTGTAATTCAGTTTATTGAATGCACTATTCAACTTCCTCATATTCTCCCCTGTGACCTACTAAATCTATTTCTGAGAAAGGTATATTGAAATCCCACACCATGACACATTTACCATGTTATTTTTGCCTTATTTAGCTATTTAGCCAAATAAGCTTATAACTTATAGATTGTCATAAACTGTCCCTTTTATCATGATAATAACCATTTATATAGTTTGATGTTCAGGTTTCATCTTGTCTATTATTATAATTACTGATTTCTTCTTGTTGTCTTCCTGGGCCATAGATCTTTATCCAATTCTTTATTTTTCATATTTCCTTATCAAATTTTCAAAAGTTTCTTTTTTCTAAACAGGACATGGTTAGGTTTTGTTTCTTAACCTAGCCTGACAGTTTTACTGGCATAATATAATTTTTCACATTTCATGTGACTGCTATACCGATTTGCTTCCTTCCAACCAAAATTTTAAATCAATCTTAGAGAGGAGCAATTTATATACAAATGGCATCTTAAATGTACAATTTCTTAAGTTGTGATAAGTGTATATACATGTGGAACCCTCCCAAACAGCACATAAGACAGATCTGTTACCCCCAAAAGTTCCTTCACACCACTTTGCAGTTAATCTCTCCCAACACTGATCTTATTTCCATCACTACAGACCAGTTTTATACAACATGATTTAATAAAAGCGTACAGAGATACTCTTGTGCCTTGCTTCTTTTGATCAGCCTGATGCTTCTCAGTATGATGTGTATGAGTAGTTGGTTCCGTC